TTTTTTTTTTTTTTTGCCTTCCCTGTGTGGTTTTGCAAAAACGATGGCTCATTCCATTATTTCAGATACTGATCAATTAGCATCATGCGTCTCAGGCTGATACACAGCGGAAATCCATTTTGGAGCGCCACTAAGGCGCCTGTCTAATGGAATTTTCTTTATTTTTCTTTATATATTTTCTAAAGCCACACCTTCTCAGACAAGGATTTGTGGTTTTTCCACGTCATGTCTGACAACAGACTGAATAGTATTCAATTTTGTAGTAACACATTACAAACAACTGGACAGACAGTTATAATAATTTTAGTAGTAATATATTTTATTGTCATTTAAAATGTGAACATGCTAATATAAACCCGTTAGCTCATATATAATTGTATATAACTCCTATGAGAGTTATTTCTTAATTTTCTTGTTTGTTTGTATATTTGTCACACTTTAATGTTTCAGATTAACAAACTAATTTTTATAGTAGACAAAGATTACCGGTGTAAATATAAAGTATTGTTTTTAAATGATGATTTCATTTAAAAAGCTTATCAAACCCCCTTGTTTAATCATGATTCGACTTTGGTCAATCACATTTTTTGGAAGCTGAGTTCAATTTCATTAGCCACACCCAGGCCTGATTACTGCCCACCTGCTGAATCCAGAAATAACTTACAATACAATACGACTTTATTTGTATTGCACATTTAAAACCAGAGGTACACCAAAGTGCTTCACAAAATCCACTAAAAGCAGTAGCAAAATACAAATGCAAATAGCAGGTGGAAAGCATTGATTAACCAAGCATACAAGATAAGCAGATATCGAAATAAAACTTCAAAAGCAAAATCAATACAAAACCTTGTTCAACAAAACAGAAGAAAAGGGTACTTACAAGAATCGTACTCTAGATAGCCAGGAAGGCTAAACCAAATAGATAAGTTTTCAATCGAGATTCTGGATCGAGTCAGATGCACGAATAGCTTGTGGGAGATTGTTCCAGAGGTTAGGTGCAAGCGGAGCGAAAGCACGGTCACCTCTGCTCTTTGCAGTGACCTAGGTTGCACCAAGAGCAATTGTCCTGATCATCTCAGTGCTCTCCTAGGAATATACAGGCTGAGAAGATCAGTAAGATAACTAGGCACGATATTATTTATGATTTTAAAAGTAAGCAATAAGATTTTAAAATCAATGTGATACTTAAATCGATGGTATCTGACAAAATAAAGCAGGTTAAAAGATCTCAAAAAGCAACACACCATGATCTAAAGAAGCGGCTGAGAAACAAAGTCATTGACATCTATGAGTCTGGAAAGGGTTACAATGAACCAGTGTATCAAAATGACTCCAAGAGCACATCAACGACTCATCCAGGAGCTCACAAGACTGGATAACCACATCTAAAGAACTGCATGCATAAACTAACATTTCACAAAAAGACCATCGTGCCAACAGTCTAGCATGGTGGTGGTAGTGATGGTCTGGGGGTGTTTTGCTTCTTGACTTGGATGACTTGCTGTAGTTGATGAAACTTTGAATTCTGCTCTCTACCAGAAAATCCTGAAGGAGAGTGTCCGCCCATCAGTTCATGCCCTGAAGCTCAAGTTCATTTGGGTGATGCAGCAGGACAGTGAGCCAAAGATGTTTTACCCCCTTAATAACTACTTAGGTTATTTTTGTCTAATGTCAAACTTTTTTGGATGATTTGAAACATGTACGTGTGACAAATATGTGAAAACCTAAAAACCAGGAGGGGGTAAATACTTTTTCAGTGCATTGTACATATTTATGTCCTGGAAGCAAGATATTTTAAAATTCTGATAGTTGAAAACAAAATTAAGATAAGGGATAAAAACTACCTTCATCATCTACAGTTCCTCATCATTTTAATAAACATTACTTACCCTCCAAGATGATATCTGTTTGATTATCCACCTGCCTGTCTCATTTTCATACTTGTATTTAATTTCGAAGATCAAGGTGATAAATATGTGCTCGTATCAACTTGTTTTAAAAACCAGCTTTCATTACAGTTCTTTCAATTAAAACAAGCAAAACACAACAGTTTGAACTACACCCTGCATTGTTACATGATCACACTGCCTCAGCATCACTTCTAGTATCATATTTCTGTGATGGGATTTGCAACTCAATAAAGAGCTTGAGGAGTACTCCACACTGACATTACACAGCACTGTGGAGATGTCACTAATTACACCCTCCAAGGTTCAGGTTCTGCATCATAAAGCTATCAGCACTGACATTGGCAGACTCTCAGGAGAATTTCCAGTTTTCCTTTTGTTACTGAAAGCCTAAAAAATGAAACCCTGTTGTGTTTCCACATGTCTAAACTGCTCATTTGCCTTCTTGCAAATCTAATATCTCAAAAGTGGCAATTAAGCACCAAAAATACAATCTGGAAATACAGAGATTGATGAAACAATCAGACAAAAATGCACCTAAGAAAGTGAATTTTCTACCGTGCAAAACAAAATCCAGTGCATACATGACTGATTGCAGCTGTCAGCGTCTCTGCTCCAGCCTTCCTAGTTTCCTCCAACACAATTACAAATTTAAAAAAAAAAATGCTGAGATGGTTTGCACATGTGCAGAGGAGGCATAGTACACATGAGCAAAGGTGCTGAATATGGAGATTTCAAAAAGGAGGAATAGAATAAGACCACAGAGAAGATTGAATTTGGTGAATTTAGTGAAGGAAGACATGCAGGGGGTGGTGTGACACAGGACGATGCTAGAGATAGGATAAGATGGAGGGAGACGATCTTCCCCTAAAGAGAGCAGCCAAAAGAAGAACACATGTATGATTTTAGGTTTCTGCTGCTAACAGCTCTCTAGCACTAAAACTAAAATAATAAAGTGACATTAACACTACATAAGTACAAAATTAAAAGTGATATGCTCTAAATATTATCTCATATTTGTCTCCACAGAGTGAAGATGAAGCTCTATTCATTGTCCATGCTTAGTTTGTCACTTATCTTGCTTAATACCCCTTTCTCGCTGACCAGGGGAAAGGGAGGGAGAGGAAAAAGTTCGGGCAGCAAAAAAGTCTCTTCGGGCACCAATACAGGATACAAACCCAAAAAAGACTCCACCCCTCAGGGTGGCCATCCAAAACAAAACAATCAGGGCAGTCCTGGGCAGCAAGGCAATTATCCCAGACAACCAGGTGCAGCAGGCAACCCTAACCAGTATCCAGGACAAAGTTCTCCGTATGGAGGGTATGGAGGAGGTTATGGAGGCTATGGAGGAGGTTATGGACGGTATGGAGGAGGTTATGGAGGTAATCGTCCTTCTGAGAATTCCAGAGGGTTTGCTCGCAGTGCAGTAGTAGCTGCAGCTGGAGGTGCAGTGGCAGGAACGGCCCTGGGCTATGGGTTAGGACAGTTCCACAATCCTCACTTTACTGTCCGCAGCCCTCAAGAGGAGTATTATTACAAACACTACATGCACAGGAACCATGGGTCTAAAATCCAAACTAATAGAAATACTAACAAAAATACTAATACCAATACCAATACTACTGAATACAGCAGCGACAAAGGAAGAGATGCCGTAATTACTCAACCCGTTCAGAGTTATGAAGACTACATGGATGCCTGTATGAAGAGGTCTGACATTTTGCCGGTGAAAACTCAAAAGCCCCAAATCAAACCAGGTACAACTGCCACAGCTACGACCAAAACCAACACGTCTACTCTCGTGACATCAGAGAGCAACGACACTGCCACAGAAAACCCCTCGACCCCCACCCCTGCAAGTCCAGGCCCTCCAAATCAGCCCGAAGAAGATGACACGGTCAGCATTGTGGAGATCGGCTACCCGGCACTGATCGAGCAGGTGAAAACCAGGAGATGCTTGGAGTTGTACATGGCTTACTCCATGAAGTACATGAGACAGGAAGGGCCGAAAGACGGGAGTACAGGAGGGGTAGAAGGATTGGAGATGGGCTTTCAAAGACTTTTAGCAGTAGTTACAAGTGCTATGCTGATGCTACTTAACAGCAATGTACCTGTGCTGCTGCACTGAGATGTTCATTTGACATTATAGAGAATGTGTTCATGAATAAGATGAAAAGATGAAAAATAACTTGGTGGAAAGGAACCTGTAATCCTTTCTTTATTTTGTGCTGACTTCTGCTGTGAGATTTTATACTTTATTTTATACTTTATGCTTCATATAAAGCAAACATTGACGGCACAGATGTGATTACAGGAGAAATTAAAATAAATAGTTACAAAGCCTTTTCCTGTAACTGTAAAACAAAACGAGCTAAAGGGTTGTTTCTTATGGGAGAATGTGAATGTTTTCATGAATCCTAAAGGCTTGCACTTTTTCCTCGTCATGTTAAATAAATGAAATAGCTTTACTAACTTGTACTTGTGGATATTTCATTGCTTCGGAGCTGGCAAGTGACAATGTCTCGTAGCATTAGTGTTATGAAAAAAGTAGAGTCAGCATTGGATTATGTATTTATATGTTATTGTATCCATCCAGCACCTCCAAATCTGGGATCATGAGCACGTCCAGGCCTCCTCCACACCATTATTGTGTTGGGTAATGACATAATTTTCTCTTGGGGAATATGCTACACTAAGCTAGATGTTGTGATGGGTTTTTCTTTCCCATTTAAAGGATCATGTGATCATTCAGCTCCGTATTAGTCTGTAGATTTCCAGACATTCAATGATCCCTAACAAATGTATCAAACTGTGTGATTTGCCCCCCCCCCTAATGGTCCCGGTCTCTCTGATAGACTTGCTTTGTAAAGAATGGTCTATTTTACTTGTACCTGAGATTTAAATGCCACATTTAACTCTCTTGTCGGACCTTTAACCTGCTTCATTACAGAAATAATTAAGAACTAGCAAACACTTATCAGCTCAAATTAAATATGAACCCCTGAAAATAGGGCATCGTGTATAAAAATGGCTGCGGCTCCATAAAGGTTAATGCAATATTCTTGTTAAGCATTTCAAATTAAAGCTGGCCGTCTGCACGTTGACCTTTTATTGATTTTATAACTGTAGGTCCAGTGTGTTGGTACACAAAATACCAGACATAACTTAAATAAGTGCACTATTTTGATTTTTACACTTAAATGTTTCAGATAATCAAATCAATTTTTATATTAGACAAAGAAACCTGAGTAAATGCAAAATGCAGTTTGTAAATGATGATTTCTTTTATTAGGAAGAAAAAAGCTGTTCAAACGACCTGAAACCGTGTGAAAAAGTAATTGCCTCTTCTTGTTAGATTATAAATTAACTTTGATTAACCACATTTTTTTTGGAAAGCTTAGTTCAGTTTCACTAGCCACACTTAGCCCCGATTATTGCCCTCATAACACAATGCTTCATATCACAATCTAAAGAAACCCAAGAACAAATGAGAAACAAAGTCAGTGACGTCAGTCTGAAAAGGATTACAAAGGTTCCTAAGGCTTAATAATAATCTAAAATAATCTAAAATGATGCGGTTAGCATGGAGAATAAATGTCAACACGAAGCTATATCACACATTTATTTTACATTCATAACAGTTTTAAATATTAAAGAACATTCTTTAATAAAAATCTACAAATGATCATAAAACATTTAATTATGCAAATATGTCAACGAAAGCAATACTTAAAAATATAACCTATACACAATATACAGCATAGGCAAAATTATGTAACAATTGTGAGTACAAGAAAATAATTATTATAGTATGTGTTAAATTTGTTTAGATCAGAGGAATAAGGAAGGATTTGTCTGTGTTTCAGTTTGGCTTAGCTGTAGCCTGAGAGTGTGTGCAATTGTTTAGAGGGAAAGGAATTTATTGACACTGAGGGTCTGCTGTCATAAAAGGAGACAGGAAGCTACAGTTGGGGGTTGCTGATGCTTGTACCTTTAATAAAAACTCATAATTGTTATAAACTTAGAAGTAGGCTTGCAGGAGACTCTCCACCTTAAATGTAAATGTAAGACAACAAGAGGCCAATGGCCCAGTGGATGCAGAGTGGGGGTCTCAGTGTTTGTAATATGTTAACTCTGTTTTCTATGTTGTGTAGAGGAATTTACACAGAGACACACACAGTGCTTTGACTGTTACGACGCACCCACACCTACATGCACACTCACTCACATGCACTCACACATACACACGAGTACGTGCACTCACATAGACACACGGGTACGCGCACACACAGACACTCACGTGCTCGTGCATACACACACAGACACAGAGTTTGCAGCACACCATGGGGGTTTTATGATGGGGTCACTTCTATAAAGCTGACTGTAACAAACAAAGGAGTGGAAGATCTGCAGAGGGACACCGGCCTTCCACGTCTCCCCTTCTAGAAGATGCATGCTTAACAAGAGGAATAAAGGTTTTTGTGAAAATGACTACTGAGTCCGGTGCCGTCTCTGGATGGCCGAGGAATAAAAAAAAAAAAAAAAGAACCGGGGTGAAACTGATTTCGCAACACAATGAAAAAAAATATTTAAATTTGGTAATTAGAAAATGACATTAACATCTAATCCTGACATTGTTCCTTGAGGTAGACTTAACTTAAAACAGATCTAATTAATTCCTGCTCTATCTTTACAGACTGTAGTCATCACCATATGTATAAAAACAGTGGCCACATTAAAAGAAGTGAAAAATGGGACAGGAGAGCAACATCACATCAAATCAGATTACATTTCGTGACTTTAATAATGATTTTTGACCGCGTGTTTTCATATTCAGCGTAATGGTGTCACATTGATAAGTCAAACTCCTCTTATTGTCCTCACACAGGGTCACACACAGTGTCCATAAAACAAATTGGCAACAGGTTTTTATTTCTGAAAACTCAAATTTCAGGTGAACTATGACTTTAAAAATGTCCCCTTTACAGTAGGTTGGGTTATTTTTGAAAGGAGGGTTTTTTCTGGTGTGTTTGTAAATCTCAGCTTCGTCTCCAGCGCTACATGAATGCCACCCAGTGGCCCATGAGCAGGGACATTAGGGAGCCAATGACAACAATGATGCTGTTGTAGATTGGGCCACTGGATGCTCCGGTGTAGTACTCTACATCACCAGAGCCCTCTGGCTCGTAGCCAGGGCGGGGGCCATAGCCGTGACCACCTCCGTATCGTGGGTATCCATAACCTCCTCCATACCCTCCATATCCACCATATCCACCGTATCCTCCGAATCCTCCGCCATACCCATACCCATACCCAGGACGGCTCAAGGCAGAGCCGAGCATGGATCCTCCTATTGCTCCTGCAGCAGCTGCCCCAGCTACTTTCCCGGCACTGGGGCCACTGCTCTGGACAGGCGGTGGTCTGTAGGGCTGACCTCCCCACCCCCGGCTGTAGCCTCCTCCTCCTCGGCTGAACCCACCACCTCCACGTCCACGGCGGGCCTCGGAGCCGGGTAACAGTGTGGCCAGGAGCAGCACACAGAGGGCCACTGTGGAAAGTTTGTGCATTTCCAACGTGATTTTCATCCTGTCAAAATAAGATTATAGAAACTTTATTAGGACTGAATTGGTTAATGAGGTTAATGAACTTCATTAGTAATCACTTTTACATTTTTATAGACTTGCTTTTACTTCTATTATATGTTACATCATCTTTCAGTTGTGTTGTTAATTTTTTTGCTCAGCTTTGTTCTGTCATTGGCATTTAAAAAATTATGTATTCATTTTGTTATTATAAACAGGAAAATCAAATTTTTGTTTCTGCTGTTGCTGTTTTAGACTATACATAGTAAAATAATTACCCAACAAGTACCAACCAAGGATTTCTTTTAAATTATTTAAAGAGAAAATATTTATTTACATTATTACTACTTGAATTACTGGTGAGTACTTAAATTTATTTTTTTTAAACTATACTTTATACATTATATAAAATGGAAAGGTTCTTGAACTCACACAAACACACTGATGAGATGTTCTCAGTGCAGCTTTAGTGCTGCTGTGTGGTATTATTACACTGCTGATGAATTAGGAACAGCACAGATCACTGCTTTTAATCCAGCTTTGAGAAACAAATCTTACACAAGCACTGTGGCGTGAGTGCTGAAGCAGACAAGGGATCAGATCAGACTCATATTTTCTAATGCACCTCAGTTAGGATCCTGTAGATGGGGTCTGTTTCTAAATCTATGGATTAGCTCGTTTTTGTTGGGATGAAATTCATATTTTCTTAATTCTGAAATCTGACTATTTTTGACCTAATCCCAAATTATGGACAGGCTAAGACAGAAGATAACCATGTAAAAAGAATTAGAGAAAGATGACACAGGCCATAAAAAATAATGTATTAACAAACATCCAGGCTACATTTAAATATGAGGTTTAGGTGTAGGCTATGCACCATAAATACAATATTATTGATATATTATTATAAAATAGCCAACATTAAATTATGTAAACTCCAAAAAAACAAAAACCTAGTAAAAACATCTTGCATTAAGTATGTCACTGCTATAATCTGTACTAACAAAATATTAGTGAAGATTGTACTTTATATATAGTGTGGTAGGACAAGTGTATTTTTAAGTACTGTGAAGTCTAAGCAGGTCCTGTATCTAGTAATAATCTCAGTAATGAGGTGAACATGAGGACTAACATTAGAGTTAGTGACTTGTTTGTGCCACTAAAAAGTATCTCAAAATTTTAATAACTCAACTTGAAATATTGAATCATGTTGAAATATTGAGATAAAATTGGGTGGCAATTTCTGTTTTTCTGTGGCAGAAATACGCTTGCGTCAAAACATTTACTCAAATCTGTACACTTTTGATGTATGCATGACTACATTGAGTGGGTTTTTTAATGCTACTTTGCACATGCACTCTGACACATTTTAAAAAGAAATATTGCACTTTTATTCACCAGCTTTATTTTAATTACCTCTTCTCTGGATGAGGATTTAAATAGATCATTTTAATAAGTATGTTATAGAGTTTTAAGAAATACTCTCCAGTATTTAAAACGCCTACAGCAGTTTCACCTTGACCAACTGCGTCACTGAAGGATAGCTCACATATTAGAGCATGGATAACACCAATCCACTAATAAGGATCGCTATCACTGAATCATAACTACGTCTGTTTTTCAAACTTTAAATCCAATTTAAAGTTTAATCCGCTCCACTTAAATTCTCTTTTATCAACCATTCAGTCTATAAATCCAGGTTGGTTTTATATATTATTATTAAGTATCCATGATTAAAAGAGAACTTAGATTTGACTTTTTATTTATTATAATCCTTGTTTGTACCTTGAGATGCATTCATATTAATTGTAATTAGTACTACCATGTGTTGCTTGAGAATTAGGATTTGACAAATACCACAGTCTTTGTACACTGGATGCAACTTTTATATTACATTACTTTGTATAGTACTACTACTTCTTTTACAAAGAAATGAAATACATGTCCCACCACTGATTATATGACCATGACATCATTGGCTCTGTCAACAGACGGTGTACACTGTCTAATCTGTGTCCTCTTACAAGGTAACTCGAGCTATAATTACACTGGGTCAGTTAGTTTGAGAATAATCCAGTGACTCTCAGATTACAGCTACACTTTCTAGATATAAGCTCTGATCTGTGCAAATTTTGTTTTTTTAAATATCCCAGAAATAAGAACGAAAGGCTTTAACTCACTCAGATTCATACAATAAACATCCCTCATTTTAATATAAATTAGTAACATGAAGAAAAAAGAGAAAAAAATAGAAATAAAAAAAGTCTTACCTGTGAAATTAATATTTTTTTGTGTGGCGGAGATTTGGATGGTATTCCTCTTTGGGAAGCTGAAGCCAAAAGTGATGTTTGCAGCTCAGACTCCTTTTCTTGTCTGTGGGAAAGTATGTTTCAGGGCCAGCCTGTTATCCGTCAGACAATCTCAATCACCTCATTGGCTGACTGTGCAGTAAGCTGCTGGTGCTGCCGACATCACGCATAAATACCTGAGAGCGCGGGCTTAACATTTGCGTTTCTAATTTTATCTGAATTATTTAACTCTCCGAGTAAACAAACCAGAACGTTCAGCGAGCTCTCCCGAAGCTTCTGCCATCATCTGCCACTGCAAACGAATTCAGCATCGTTAGGTAACAGTGACTGCAACAAAAACAGATGAGAACTACAAGTTCATTTTCCCCAGACAAATTTTTTATTAAATAACAAACATTGTACGAAAACTTCCACAAAGTAGTGGCAAGAGTTAACACTTTAAAGGCTAAAATTTCTTCTTTACTTTGTAAAAGACACAATACAAAAGCAGGCAAGTCTTAGGAGTCACTAAAAACACAACATGCATGCTCTCACACAATCTTCGGGGCGTCGTCCACTGCGTGTCAGAAATACTGAACTGTCAGGCAGAAGGAGACAAAGTGCTGTACATGTGGAGGCAAACCGCACTGCTTAGAAATGCTCGTTCGTACGTTTAAAAACATTCTCCGTAAAATTCACAGTCTTGTGGGATTATCGTTTTGTGCTTCTTGTCTCTGCTGGATGTAGATGTCAAAAAAACTAAAAAAAATAAATAAAAAAAAACCTAAACCAAAATGAAAACAAAACATGAAGATTTTGTGCAATCTGGTTAACGTCAGGCAAACCTTTAGCGTAAGACATGAATGTGTGTAGGAACAAAACAAGTAGCTCAAAAAGTTGCATTATTCCAAGGAATAGTCTGTTATTTTGGGGAACTTCTGGATCTAACTTCATGCTGAGAGTTTGGCTTCAATGTCACCAGATCTCATTTAAAACTCAGTAAGCAGGACAAAGACCGGTGCCACCAAACATAAACACAGCAGTTGAAGTTTTGGGGGCTTGATATGCAGGAATCACTTCTCCATACTCTTTCACTTGGGCTTTTTATGCATTAAATTTAATGAAATATGTAAGGTAAATTTTTGTCACTGTCAGACCACTCCACATTTACAGGATGGTTGTTCCCTGTGATTCTCAGTCTTACATGCTGCCTACATGTAAAATTGCCAAATACTGTGTGTAACTGCATTATCACAGTCACAGCCTGCAGTGGCAATAAAAAGATTTCACATCAATGAAATGAAAAAGGTCCTAAATGTTTACATCAGCTTCAAAGTATCCCACCAACTTTGTGTGTTTTGTGCTTGGAGAAACCTATATAGTCACTATAAGATGACATTTGTGCTTTAAAACGATTTTGAATATTTCCTGCAGCGAAGGCAGAAGACAGGTTACATTTTAGCCTCATCTTGCAGGCTAACAGACTAAAAAAAGGTTAAAAAACACAAACAGGAGACGTTTGTCCGAGTGCTCTGTTCATGGCAAAGAAAAGCAAAGGAAAAAAAAGTGTGTGTGTTGTCATGACTCTCAGTATCACAGAGATGGTCACACTCAACACGTGCACGAAAGAGCAAACTGTGGGCTGACTGATTGTGGGATGTGCTGAGGGAGGACAGTTGGTGAAACATGTACTTGTTGCTCTTGTCAGCTGATTCTTGGTCATTCTCTTGGTCACGGCTTGGCAGCTGTGGTGACAGTTTGGTGTGGGGGGCCCTACCATAAGCAGATCACATACACTTTGCCCCCTCTGGAAGACACTGGAGCTGCTTCTCGATTATATTCCGAATATAGTTATACCTGCAAATATGAAGGCAGAGGAAGACCAAATCTGAGGATTTTTTAAAGAGCCAATAAAAACACGTGCACATCCACATTAGACTGGGGGCAGGTGGTGGGCTAAAAAATAGTTTAAAAATAGCTTGTAGGCCTCCACTTTTCATATTTATTGCAGCTCATAAAAGTTAAAGATGTTAAGATTATGTTTACTGAATGCCAGGACAGATTAAAAATGTATTTCTTATACCTTCTCCTGAGTTTCTGCACCTCTCTGTCCTCCTCTTCCTTTAGCTTGGTGATGAAACTCTGGAGGACAGGCATCTCAAACTTGATATACTGCGCCACCTTGTGGAAGCAAAGAGAATTTTAAGGCCAAATCCCAAAAGATAATTGAATATTGGAAACACAAGTGCAAATACTTGTGTGTATACTTTATGCGTTTTACAAGGAAAAAGTAACTGTAAAATAATTAACACATGTTCATTTATAGCTATGAAAAAAGAAAATGGTGATTTACATCATATGTGACTTCTTCTCCGAGATCTTCTTCCATGAGGAATATTTTGCAGACTTGCTCACACGGTCCCTGCATGATTCTCAGCAACATAGGATAGTCAGTCCGCTTCAGTTTCACTCGCTCTGAAACACCAGAACATACACGGAGTGATGGATTAATAACAATAACACATTTTATACACAATGTCCTCAATGTCCGCCTTTGAGCTACATGACACATATCCATATTTGTAATCCACATAGCCAATAGTTCATGAATAATTTAGCACTGACATTCAGACTTTACAGCTGGGTCTGATGCAAGAACTTAATCAAAAACAAACAGCAAGAGCACTCAGTTGTGTGTGGGGTAGTTTGCCATTTGTTACCGCAACATAATCTACAATCTCATCAAACATCTTCATCATCATTTTGAAAGCATCATTACTTTTCAGTTACACTTCTGCTAATTGCTGTTTGATTACTGACTGCAATGTGTTTCTTTCAGCTCAGAAAACCCAGTGAGTGAACAGAAATGGAATAATGACAACACCGATTCTGTGTTGAGTTTCCAAATATCATAGCCTCTAAAAAAAATTAAAAATAAATTATAAGCTTTATAGAGATTCAAAATGTTGATCCTGTTCATCTTGACGTAGCATTTTCAGCTACGAAGCTTTATAGAGAAGCTCTGTGTTGTAGCTTTAGTTCAGATTTGATTGCACCACCAGCAATAATGCAAAAACTTCCAACTTTAAAAGTAATAAAACTAAAAGTCTAAAAGTAGATGATAAAATCAGATAAAATAAAATTAGTGGACTGCGGCTAAAGTCTTAACTCACCTCCACTAGCATGGACCAGATAGAGTGCAAAATCATCTGGGCTGTTTTCGATTTTGAACTTGTTAAGGAGAACTCGTAGCACCTGCGGCGTGGTCATACAGCTGTTGATGCGAACGTTAGTCACCGACCCGTAAGCAGGCGTAAACACTGCTGTCTGAGGATGAAATGGAAAAACATTTTAAATATTAATATTTTAAATATTAATTTAGGTTCAGTTAAAATTGTTGAAGCTAAAACTTTTACTCTTTTCACTTTTAAACACATTTTCTCAAGAAAAATGTAACTATAACCTGTTCCCAAATCATTTGCTTTAAAGCGTCACATAAATGAACTAACCTAATGAATTTTATTTGATTATTCTGTAAGTTTTTAAAAGTTTTACTTTATGGTTGTAGAAGTGTCCGTTGATGGAGAATCGATGGCGTCGGATTTTCCTCTGGTCACTTGGCGACCTTCGCTGGCCTCTCCTTAAGACCCCGGCATCGCTCTTTGTCCTGAGGAGCTGAGCGGAGCTCTCACTGTCCTCTGTCAAATCAAATGTTGAACCACCTTAAATTACTGATTATTATTCAGTGTAGCCCTAAGCTAAGATCACAAAATAGTGAAAGAAAACCATAGTTTTAGAAATAAACATCACTTACACAGAACTGTAAACAAATTTTATCTTTCGCTTTAATGTGCAAATTTTATTTTTAATTAAAAATGTGTTTATAGCTAATTTCATTTCATCTTAATGCGGTCCAACTTTTTTTCGCCAAGATTCAGCCAGTTTAAAAACAAAATATTCTTAGTAAATGACTGATGTTTGAGGCTGCTTATTCGATCCTCATTATAGCCATCAGAGTAATGTACAGTTCAAATGAGTAAAACCAAAAGAACAGGTAGCAAAAAACTGAGAAACAGCTCAAAAAATCTATAAATACTGAAAGAAGTGTGAGCAAACACGTTCAAAATAAGATAAATCTATCTATCCATCCATCCGCTTATCCTTTTCAGAGTCACAGGGGGTGCAGGAGCATATCCCAGCTGTCATAGGGCAAGAGGCGGGGTACGCCCTGGACAGGTCGCCAGTCTGTCGCAGAGCTAATACACAGAGACAGACAACCATTCGCGCTTACATTCAATCCCGCATTCACACCTATGGGCAATTTAGACTAATTTACACCTTTGGGTTAATATTTTACTCTTACTTTATTGGTTATTTATAACCATGTAGATACAGCTTGAAATATTTAAAATCTAAATGACTGAAGTCTTAAAATACAAATGTATAAAACGGAAGTCCAAAATTTACCTTCTGCCTCCTCTTCAGTCACACCGTTGTCCTCTGGTTGGCTGTCAGGTGGCGTCACTTCCACTGTGGGTGAGCTCTGCTGAGCCTGTTGACCATCTGTGGTGGTGGGAGAACTTCAAACAGGGAACAGGAGAGAGTACATTTATGGGGTGAAGGAGAAGAACTGCAAACTGTCAAAACTGTAAACATACAGCTAAAAATATTTTTTCAGATAAAAACTGCACCTTCAAATGATAACTCCCATCATGTATTTATGACCATAAGCTGTAGTTTCTCAAAAAACTATTATCCTGATATTGATTTTAGTGTGGACTAACAGCCACTAGAATCTTGTAAAGCCATTAAGTTTAAGAGCAGTCCAGGTCTGCACAGCTGAACTAAAACTCCCTCCACACCATGTATGAATCTAGAGGGAGATCTCGATCAGTTTGTGAGATTTTCTTGAGAACACCAGTTTTTCTTTTTTCACTTTGGTATGTGTTTGTGATGCCATCAACATGCTGGTCTGTTCTGACTGTAGTGGTGAGTCTTATTATTAGGTTTCCTGTAGTAGCTGCCATTTTTAACCTCCTGTTTAACATACGTCATATCTGGGTTGGTTAGTTTCAACTTGTGACTGCTGTTCCTCTTTGCCAGTGCAGCTGTTCTTTTAGTTAGGAGTTGTGACAATGTTTCCTGTCATAATCAAGCAAATTTCTGAAGAATCTCACAGCAATTTGGGTACTTATGAGAGTTTTTGTTGTTGTTTTCATGTTAACATCCAAATGGCAGCTCTATGCCTGTGAGGCCTGC